AATCCTCCCAATGCATTTAGGGGAAAATTTACTCTTCATAGTCTCCTACAACCCAACAAAGTCCAAGGAATGGTCACTAATAAGGTCAGAGAGGCAGGTGGCCATCCCTTTCTTGCCTGCCCCTCTGCAGTTCCAAATGAGGCCTCTCATTTGGAACGAGCTTTATGAAAATTAGATCGAGTAGCCCTGCCAGGAGGCTTTGCAGGGCTACGGAACAACTCTTCAGTAGGGGTTAGTTTCTTTTGGCTCCTAGTAACAGGTCTAGGAATCTTCACCACATATTCTTCTTAGGTTTCTTCTTGTTTTTTCCTAAAGAAATCTGATCATGTAACACCTCTTCCTGGTCCAGCCAGGTGAGGTTAACAGGGATAGATTTACCCAACCCATTGGTAACCAAAATGTCATCCCCATTATCATCAGTGGGTTTGTTATTCTCATTCACCTTATCTTTATCAGCAAGATTTCCTCTAACCCTCTCCAATTCTCTAAGCACATCCACACAAGAGAAATCATTATCAGGAATATTCACACCCATGCAAGAAGCTCTATGTAACAGTTCAGAATTAGAGAGAACATCAAAAGCATTAGTACAAGCTGTATGATTACCTCCTAAATCTTTTTTCTGGGCAAGCTCAATAGCTTTTGCTTCAATATTCTCCTGCATCCTCTACATATTACGCTTGCTGAATTTAAGGGCTACTTCTGGAGCTAGAGGAGGGGTGAGAACAATCTCAATCACTGCATTCAGAAGATGGAAGCTGTACCACATAATCGCTGTTGTTCTTCAAGCCTGCATCAATGTCTCCCTCCACCTCCACAATCTGAGCAGTATTAGAAACCACAGCAGCATAAGACAATGATCGACGAATACCAGATGAATTTTGTACCTTCACTTGCTGACTCATATTTTCATTCCCCCTCGAAGCATTGATGTCAATATGATCCATAGTTGTCAGCCATTTAGAGGTATCCTGGGTCATATGGGCCCCCGCCAGCTCGTGCTCTTTAGCTATCGTTTCAATGAGGAGAGAGGAGTCCACCTCACTGTCAGACGACATGGATGTCTCTTGCTCCTGTGGTGACAGACGACAGGTCTTGCCCCCACGAGCAGAAGTTTCTCTTTTCTCCCCATTATTCAAGTTATATTGTTCTTCATCCACCCCTTGATCAGCACGCTTGCGCTTAGGAGTCTGATCAGGTTTAGGGGGGTTGTCATTGGCCTCCACACGCACAGCCTCTTTGTCAATAGCATTGACCACAAGGATTTCCTCCACCTCAAAAGTAAATTTATAGAAACGCCCCCCCAACACTCCTTCAGCTGTGTGAGGAAGTTGTTTCACTGATCGACATCCAATTTTAGCTCTTACAGAAGACGGATGATTCAAAGTAGCCATATCAACCTCCAGGGTTATACCCACAAGTCCCCCCACATAAGCTATAGTCTTATCACAACGTTTATTAGGAGGGATTTTCCCAATCCTCACCCAAGCAACCTCTAGGAGCCCTTTAGAATCAATATCCTCAGACCAGGGGGAAAATTTAACAGCCACACCACACTTCTTCAGTTTAACATGTTCAACGAAAAGAGCACGATCAACTTCTCTAGGGTTTGGCATCCTCATCACAAACATGTTCGGAGCAAAAAATTTAGCAGAACAGCGCCAACCCTGGCCCACATAGACACTAAGCTCGTGCTCAACATCTTTGGTGAGCGCATCCCCCTCGGTTATAGTAACAACAACATTGAAAATCCTCTCCCTAGGCTGTCTATCAACACTGAAATCAGGAATATAAAAGAAACCCTGCCCCTTGCTCTGGAAACCACACATAGCAGGCGAAAATTCCCAAGGTAAGAATTCAGCGCAAATAACCGACAGGTGCCCTTTCTTCTTGCACCGCTCACACACAGCTTGTGCACATCTAGCAGTAGGATGCCCATTCAGATTACAGATCTGACATGGAAAAGGAGGAGGAGCATTGTTACCAGCATAAGCAGGGGGATCACGCGCACGTGGAGACATAGGATTCTTTTCCACCGCACGGGGCTCGCTTGTGTCCCCATCTTCATCGCCCCACCTCCCAGCTCGAGGGGGAGCAGCAAGATTGCCGTCGGCCACCTCGTCCCACTTCCTGGATCCAGCATCCCCCGATCCAGAAGCTTTCTGAGTTGAAGATCCGCCCGACTCTGTCTTGCGCTTCCACACATTGCGGTCGAGGCTGCGACCGCGTCCCAGGCCGCGGTCGAAACGCCCGGCCCCCCGACCGTGGCGCCCAGCCCCAAATCCCTCCTTTCTCATGGTGCTAACCTCACAAATCGGATCAAGGGTATGTGGTTGAGGTGGAGAACTCGCAACTTGAGCAAAGGAACGAGGATCACCACGGATTTTGCCCTCCCACCAGGCGAAGGATCTAGGAACCCTAGCTTTAGGAGGCGACGACGCGTCCCAGAAGTGAGAGAGGCCCTCGCTGAGATCTAAAATGGGGGAGAGGGGAACCGGGTGTGGTTTTATATGAGCGGCGCCCAGCGAAACCCTAAGTTTAGAGGATCCATGGTGGTCGGATCTCATCTGTCCCACGTGTCGATCATCAGAGGCGCGTCCGCCCGGTCCACGCCCCAGGATCCCTGGCCCTCCTGTCAGATGCACGGAGCGGCTCCAGGCCCCCGTGAAACCGCCCTCTGTTGACCCACGGTCAAATCCTTCGCCGCATCGGCGGCGGCTGTGCTCGGCGCCGGAATCCTGTCCCCGACGCGAGCAAAGTGGCAAGTAAAAGCGACGATGTCACCGATGTTAAAGGACTCACCCTCCCGGAGGAACCGAGCATCCACCGTCTTCCCGTGCTCGTCCAGAAGCACGATGCGCAGCGCCTCTCGTCGGAGCCAGAGAACGCCGGCGTCCAGCGAAATCCGCCGCGCCATCACGAGATCTGATGCAAACCAGACACGCCATCGCGCGTCGCCCGCCGCGGCCGGGTCGCTCGCGCCGCCAGAGCTGCACGCCTCAGTCGCGCCGCCCGTACTGCGTGCATCACCCGCGCCGCCTCCGCCGCGCGCAACTCCCACGCCGCCGACGCGGCGAGCCACCGCACCGCCAGCGCCGCGCGTGACACCCACGCCGTGCGCACCACGCGCCTCCGCAACGCTCGCTCCCCGTGCGCCGTCTGCATCGCCCGAGACGCGCCGCTCGTGTCGGTCGCGTGTGTCGCCCGCCATGTATATTATGTCAACCCTCAAGGATTTGAACCACTTCACCCATGGTCAGTCGATTGGATTCGCCATCTTGGATACACCAGCAGGCCACCTTGCAGACCCTCTCAGCTTCATCCAAGTTAACATCACCATGTAACCTGTCATCCAGCAAGCTCGCAACGTCTCCCTCGAGAAGTTTCCTTGCAACTTGAACCGGGAAATAAGCCGAATGATCACCAGTGCTGCTATTCTCCTTACATGTATTGTTGCTCCGACCTGATACTATTTCAAGCAACATCATACCGTAGCTGTAGACATCCACTTTTGGTGTAATGGCCACTCCACTGATCCATTCAGGTGCAAGATAGCCTATAGTTCCTCTAAATGTAGTCAAAACTCTGCTAAAATCCCTCCCTAGAAATTTGGCCATACCAAAGTATGCAACTTTAGGTACAAATGAGGTGTCAAGAAGTATATTCTGTGGCTTGATATCACAGTGTATGATACGATCCCTGCAACTATCATGCAAGTATGCTAATCCTCTTGCAATTCCAAGGGCTATTTGGTAACGGACACTCCAGCTTAGTAACTCTGTATTGCTGCGGAAGAGATGTGCATCGGGGGAAAGATTTGGCATGTATTCATACACAAGCAGTCTCATACTGCCCTTGCAGCAAAAGCCAATTAGTTTAACCAAATTGATGTGTTGGATGATTCCAATTGAACTCACTTCGGCTCTGAATTCCTTCTCTCCCTGACGGACACCATCAAGCCTTTTCACCGCAATAGCTGTAGAGTCAGTTAGTAACCCCTTGAATACAGATCCAAAGCTCCCTCCCCCTAGCTTCTCTGAGAAATTTTTGGTTGCATGTTGCAGATCAATGTATCTGAAAGCTACAATTCCATTGCCACCTTGTGCATTATTGTACATGCCGGTAGTGTGCTTTCTCTTGCTCCTCCATATTAGCAGAAACCACATGACAACTGCCAACAAAAGCAAAGCAACGACACTTGCAGCAGAAGTAGCCCAAATAACCCCCTTCCCTCTCTTTGTATTTCTCCAACTTTCTGCATCCTTGGCAGAGATGCGTAAGTAGAGAACCTCTTCATTTCTAGTAGTTCCAATATCGCCTTGTTTGATGTTAAGCAAGTCATCATACCAGAGGGAGCATCTGTCGCTGTAGGAATATGCAATGCAAGAGCAATTATCTAGGCAAGCTTGTGCACAATGGTCTATGCTCCCAACAGCTTCTATAACTATGGGCATTGCAGGCAGTTTGACTTTTGTCATGGGGTAGAACTTGTCAGTTGTTGCATTTCTGCTTTGATTCCTGGCACCGCAGTCCAGTGGCACCTTTCTTATGCACCCGCCAGATCGGTCCTCTATCTTCCAATCCTTAGGTGACCTTATTGAGAAGCCCTTCAAGCAATCACACACTTGGGCTGTGTTGCTGTTGCAGATTGTGAATGGTCCACATGTAGCATAGACATCACATTGATCTTTAGGCTGGGTGAAGACCGTCACCCAATCTTGTGAACTTTCAACCCAGATGAGTTGCTTTTCCTGTCCAGTAATGTCCAAAAGGCTAACAGATATCAGCTTGTCATCTGTTACATTTTTTATGAAATACTCCTCTTTGTCATTGTTGACAAATTTAAAGGTAAAAAGATTGTCTCCATTCATTTCTGGCATCGAGTTGAAGTAATGACCATTCCATTCCCCACTAGACCAATATACTATGGACGAGTTGCATAGTTTGTAGAGGAATTGGCCAGGACCAGTGGTATCTAATTCCACACAATAACGGCCAGAGCTGGATCAATCAAGCTCTTCTTGGAAACAAGGTGACGGGTCAAACCGGTGATCTTATCCACGCCTTGCTTTGCACCAGGGAGCAGACCATCAGTAGGGTAATCAAAGCTCTGCCATATGACGTTGGATGAGTTAGATGCATCTCCTAAGATGAGGTTCCCATTGTCCATGAGCACAACTGTAGTGTTCTTGGCTGTGATATTAGCATGGGTCGACCAAATTGTCGATTTGATGTCTTTATTTAAAATGACAAGGTTACCATCATCGGAGATCGTGAGCTCCGACATTTCAAGGTTTACAATTGGTCTGTCCCTATTTGCAACCCATACTGGGGTTAACTTGGGTATCTTACCAAACCATAAGCCTATGTACCAGTGAGCGGGAGTCTGTTGGGAGGAGTACTCACTGCCTGGTTGGAAGAAGCCGAGCACGAACTTGCCATTGCGAGAGACGAGCCTGTCATCGCCGGTGAGGCGATCACCGACTAAAATCGTGCTTCTTGCTGCAGAACATGGGGCGTGGAAGGCGGAGATGAGAAGTATGAATGGGATGGCAACAAGAGGCATTGTGGTTGAAGGTTGGATGCGGTCCCGAGTCATGTTTTAACATCTGGGGGTGAAGAGTCCTATAATACACGGTAGTGTGATATGGTGACTGATACTACTGTCATCTCACTGCTAATTCATGGTCTTGGCCTCTTTGGGCGGTGGACTATAACTTGACATTGAGGCAAAGTTGGGTGGCTGTGAACTAGAACTGCCAATTTATGCATCCATTCTGAAATCTGGAAGAGGAGGACGACGACATGGACGACACGCATCACGCATGTCATACGAGCGGACAGAGCATAACCACATGGGGGTTGCAGGTAGAATATTCTACTGTGCTGCTCCGTGGTCAGGTTGGGTGCCAGGGAAAGCCCATATGACTGATGTGTAGACTATAGAATAGTCTAACTGGTCAAACAAAATCTCCCAGAATATAAGGTCTTTTCACATTGTTGACAGGAAGAGGTGTACAAATTTTGAACTGACCACTTCCACATGAACAATGATGGTCCATCAAAGAGGCACGTCGGTTTAACTGCAACTAGTTACATATATGCATCCTACTTGGAGAACGTACACCTCAAAATTTGACAAACCATTGAAATTTTATGGGAGGAAAAGATGGTATACTATTTTCATTTGCAAATAGTAGGCAAAAATACAGCCCTTTGCGTATTGTACAGAAAAGACAAGAGATGAGTGACTGTTATAACAATTATGTAATTCACACAATTGTTATTGCGGTATTATTCACAAGTCATCATATTCCCATCAGGGAGACGAATAGCATGCTGTAAATCCTTGAATATATATTCTCTCTTTATGCGCGAAAAGGTTGTTTATTTTGATAAGAGATCAATTGCTGGTATATCAATCATAAAATGCAGTAATTCACACGGTTATTATTTTGGTATTGTTCACAAGTTATCAAATTTCCATGATCTTTTGCAGGGATTATAGCATGCTATTATATTGCAATAATATTATTCGCAGGGAGAATAATAGCATGCTATATATTATTTCTTTATGTGCGAAAAATATTGTTTATTTTTGCATTGCCCACAAATGATCATTTTTTCATGAACTTGTGCAGCGCAATCAATTTCTGTAGTTGTTGTTGTACCTGAACATTCCCATAGTTAGGTCAGAAGATAGTTTCTCTGACAAAATTGCTCTGCGTAAGAAGTTCTACATACATTTTCCATCCGACCCTGAGGTCCAATGATTCCCGTATGATGCTGTGATTTGATCCAAGGGTGATTGAGCAAATCGGACAGACATCGAAAATTGGTCGTACGTGGAGCGCTGCTCAAGCAATGTCCTTGTTGCAATATGGAAGCGTTTCTACACATCTACCTGACCCTGGCCTCTATGGCTACCCAGTATCCACGTATGTGTTTGTTGTTCTTGTAGAAACAATGTCAGGTCATACTGGTCATGCACCATACAGAACAAATACCGAGCTCTCGCCGTGTTTATATGCGGTTGATTATTACGGTTTGTGGATTGATCTTTATGTAAGCACCGGATCAGTTCCTCGCTCCCCCACAAAAAAAAAAAGGATCAGTTCCTCGCTAGGGGCTAGTTTGCTGTTGCTATTCTATGTTGCGGAATCTGATCCGTAGTACCAGTCTTTGTTTATCGCCGTAGCAGTGGCGCCACATTAGATGGCAGTCTTGGCATTTCTCCAGCCCTACCTCCCCACCTGTGCTGCTCTACTGCTACCAGTTAGCATTCAAGGGTGTGAGAGCAGCGGATCTGCTGTTCCCTAAGCAAACGAAGGGAATATTTTCTCAACCAAAAAAAATGGCACATAATCTGCACCCATCTCATCTCACAGGTAAGTATCAGGGGAAATTCTCCTAAACTGCACAGTTCCATTATGTAGAAGCTGGTACTACCCCCCACAGCACAAACATGTCAGTATGGAGATACTGTCACTGGCGGTCAAGCAAGGGGGCGCCCGTGTTCTGAAGACAAAGGCGTATAGTGTGGCGGGCGATTTGAATGGGCAGACCGTCCGGTGTGGGCCTGGGTGCGTGTAGCGGGCCGTGGGCCGTCTGTATTGCCGGCAGCGTATATAAGCTGGCCGTGGGGTGTCGTGCGGGGTATCGTTGAAATAGAATTTGAATTACTCTCCTCTCTGTTCTCTCTGGTTGCGTCTGCATCTCTCTCTCTTCTCTCGCACCGATCCCCTTCTCCCGTTCAAATCTCACCGGAGACGAGCTTAAATCCGGCGCCTCCTTGGCCAACGGCAAGGACGTTACAATCTGGTATCAGAGCCTTCGGTCCGTGGCTAGCTTCCGCAACCTCGAGGGCGTACCCAGCAAATTCCGAGGCGACGGTCTTCGGTCACCCTAGGGTTCGACTGGTGTAAATCCTGACCTGAGGTGGGTTGCTTCAGAGGAAGGCACCACGGCCAAGTTCAAGCCCAGCGCGCAAACGCGACACATCACCGGGGAGATGGAGGCGTTTCAGGAGCGCATATTGAAGGAGTTCGCAGCGATGCGGGCGGAGCAGAGCAAGTTCGCCGGAGCGGCCGAGATCTGCCAGCGTCTAGAGGCGCTCGACGCGAAGATGGAGGAGCAGTCGCAGCGTCTGGACCAGGTGCAGGTGAAGGTCAACCTGTCCTGCGACACCCTCGGCAAGGTCCAACAGGAGCAGGTGCAGGCCGGCAAGCAGAGCGCAGTGACTGTAGAGACGTCGAGGCAAGTACCTCGCTCGACTCCACCGTCAATTCAGAGCGATGGAGTGCTCGGAGCGGCTCCGGGATCAACCACGCGCAGCCAGGCTCGCCATAATCAGGTACCTAAGGAAAATCCATACATCCGCGAAGAGCAGGGAGAGCATGTTCTGTGTGATGATGCGACCGGAAAGAGGAATTGGATGCCTAAGATGGATTTTCCTAAGTTTGATGGGACGGGGGTGCGAATATGGCTTGACCAATGCGAGTCATTCTTCCTGTTGTACAACATTCTTGAAGGTTTCAGAGTTACATCTGCATCTCTGAATTTGGTGGGCAATGCCGCACATTGGTTTCAGTCATATAAACAGATGGGAATATGGCATAACTGGCAGCAATTATGCGAAGCAGTGACAGAAGAGTTCGACATAAATGTGCACGAGAGCTCTTACAGGAGTTGATGAGGCTAAAACAAGGAGGTACAGTAGAGGAGTACAAAAATCAGTTCTATCAGCTGGTGTATAATATCAGACTGTATGAGCCTGCTCTTAGTGACACCTTGTTAGTCACACGGTTCATTTTGGGACTGAAGGAAGAGTTGCATGCAGCGGTGGAGATGCAACTACCTGACAATGTGCACAAGGCTGCCTTATATGCAATGGTGCAAGAGAGATTACTGCTGAAAACAAAAGGGAGCAAGCCTGGCTACCAAAAAGGGCAATATACTAAACAGGATAACAGACATGCGGTAGCTCCAAGTGAATTATGGAAAGCAAGGCAACTCAAAGAATACAGAAGAGCAAATGGACTATGTTATAGCTGTGGAGAGAAGTACACTCCTGGGCATGTTTGCAGCAGTACTAATAGCAGCACTGCACAGTTGAAAGCAACAGAGTGTGTAGATCCTCATCAGATCATTTCGGATGCTGTGTTAGATGCATTGTTGGAAGAACAGCCTAAGGAATGTGCCACTATATCTGTCCAGGCACTGTCTGGAGCATCACACCCCAAGACCATACGTTCAGAGCATTAATTGGAAATCAAGTAGTGCTGATACTGCTAGACTCAGGCAGTACTCACACATTTGTGGATCAAGCACTGCTAGACAGAGTTAAACTGAAATCTGAAACCTTGCCTACAACCTTGTTAGTGAAAGTGGCAAATGGTGATCTGCTACAGTGCTCCGAATGTGTGCCACAGTTAACTTGGTGGATACAAGGCCACAATTTCACTAATGAAATGCGGGTGTTACAATTAGGAGGCTATGATATAATTTTAGGCATGGACTGGTTAGAGAAATGGGGAGTTATGCAATGCCAGTGGGCTGAGAAATGGATCCAGTTTGACTACCAAGGAAAAGCTATGAGACTACAAGGAGTGTTACCAGTAGAAAAAACTCAGTTAACTGAAATCCCAGTGGAACAAGTGGTGAAATGGGATAAAGGAAATGACATTATGGCAGTTGCTTTAATACAACCTGTTTGGGAGAAACAGACATACAATGATGTTACTGCACCAATCAAGGAAGTATTACAAGAGTTTTCTGATGTGTTTAGTGATCCTAAAACACTGCCCCCTCACAGACACATAGATCATGTGATAAATTTAGTGCCTGGAGTTGTTCCAGTCAACAGCAGACCTTACAGGTATTCTCCTCTACAGACGGAAGAAATTGAAAGGCAAGTGGATGAAATGCTCAAAGCAGGCCTGATAACTCCAAGCTTAAGTCCTTTTGCATCACCAGTGCTATTAGTAAAGAAGAAAGATGGCTCATGGTGATTTTGTGTGGATTATAGAAAGTTGAATGCTCTCATAATTAAAAGCAGGTTTCCTTTACCTGTCATTGATGAGTTGTTAGATGAACTAGGAGGGGCAAAATGGTTTTCCAAGCTGGATTTAAGAGCTGGCTACCACCAGATCAGAATGTTGCCTGAGGATGAGCCCAAAACGGCCTTCAAAACTCACCATGGACAGTTCTAATTCAGAGTAGTTCCTTTTGGGCTGGCAACATCACCTGGCACTTTTCAATGTATGATGAATTTTTTGTTTCCTGGTAGAAAGAAAGGAAGAAAAAAGGTACTGGTGTTTATGGATGATATACTGGTGTGTAGTTTATCCTTAGAGGAACATCTACAAGATCTGAGAGAAGTTCTCACTACACTAAGGGAAAATCATTTTTATGTGAAAGAGAGCAAATGTTCTTTTGGCCAGCAGTCTCTAGAGTATTTGGGGCATATTATTTCTGATAAAGGTGTATCCACTGATCCCTCCAAAACTGCTGTTATGTTGAGTTGGCCAGTTCCCAACAATGTGACAGAATTAAGGGGATTCCTAGGTCTAACTGGATATTATAGGAAGTTTGTTCAGAACTATGGAATTTTGGCAAAACCTTTAACTCTGCTACTGAAGAAACAAGCCTTCCAATGGACACCTGAAGCTCAAACTGCATTTGAACAGTTAAAACAAGCAATGGCTACTACTCCTGTCCTAGTTCTACCCAACTTTGATCAACCCTTCTGCGTGGAAACAGATGCTTGTGACTCTGGTGTAGGAGCTGTATTAACACAACAAGGACATCCAGTGGCTTTTTACAGCAAAGCTCTGGGCCTTAAAAACAAGCAACTGTCTATCTATGAAAAGGAGTTCCTAGCAATAATGATGGCAATAGATAAGTGGAGGACATATCTATCAAGAGGGCCTTTTGTAATTAAAACAGATCACAAGAGTTTATGTCACTTAGGAGATCAAATTCTGACTTCAGAGCTCCAGAGAAAAGCTATGACTAAGCTGGTGGGATTGCAGTTCAACATTCAGTACAAGAAAGAAGTTGAGAACACTGTTGCAGATGCATTGTCCAGAGTGGCTCATCTGTTCCCCATTCAAGCTGTATCTACATCTCAACCTGTCTGGATACAGGAAGTACTGAACTCCTACACTGTAGATTCTGAAGCTCAGGAAATGCTGCAAAAGTTAGCCCTAGATCCTGTGGCTTGTCCAGGTTTCAAGTTGCATAAAGGACTACTGAAACATGATGATCAGATCTGGATAGGAGCAAATACTGGACTGAAAACCAGACTGATACAAGCTTTTCATTCTTCCCCTGTGGGAGGTCACTCAGGAATTCTTCCAACATATTTCAGAGTGAAGCAATTGTTTCATTGGCAAGGTATGAAAGGAGATATTGAAAATTTTGTCAAGCAGTGTGCAGTGTGCCAACAAGCCAAGCATGAATTGTGTAAGTCCCCTGGTATGTTGCAGCCCTTACCAATTCCTGAAGGACCATGGCAATCCATTAGTATGGATTTCATTGAAGGTTTACCCAAATCAGAAGGTTACAGCTCTATTTTGGTAGTTGTTGACAGGTTCACTAAAGTGAGCCACTTCATACCTCTCAAACACCCTTTCACTGCTGCTGGTGTTGCCAAAGCCTTCCTGAATAATGTGGTCAAATTACATGGACTACCACTGTCCATCATATCTGACAGAGACAAGATATTTACCAGCTCATTTTGGAAGGAGTTATTCAGGGTGTGGGGCACAGAATTACAAATGAGCACTGCATATCATCCCCAAACTGATGGTCAGACAGAAAGAGTCAACCAGTGCTTGGAAATGTATTTGAGATGTGTTGTTCATGATTGTCCTGCAAAGTGGAAAAGTTGGTTGCCTCAAGCAGAATTCTGGTATAACTCAACATTCCATTCCTCACTGGGTTGTACTCCTTACAAGGCTCTGTATGGACATGAGCCAAACATTGGACAACTAGCTGGGGATCATGCTTCTCTGAATGGGGAGGTGCATAGCTGGCTCTCTGCTCAGACAGAACACACGAACAGACTGAAAGAACATCTACACAGAGCACAAGTGAAGTACAAACATTATGCTGACAAAAACAGATCACCTAGGGAATTCTCTGAAGGGGAACAAGTGTATCTTAGACTGCAACCATATGCTCGTCAGTTGTGAACAGGCCCTGTCCTAAGTTAGCACTGAAATTTTTTGGACCATTCAAAGTCCTTTCCAAAATTGGAGCTGCTGCATACAAGCTGGAGTTACCGAAAGGAAGCCAGGTTCATCCAGTGTTCCACGTCTCCCAACTTAAATCGCATGGGCCAGATCACACACCAGTTTTCACAGTGCTGCCCAAACCTCTGGATTTATCAGTTCCAGGAGTTGTTCCAGAACAGATACTAGACAGACGTCTGGTCAAGAAAGGCAACGCAGCTCATTTGCAAGTGCAGATCAAGTGGACCTCGGTGCCAGATTCAGCGGCTACGTGGGAGGACTACGAGGTGATCAAGGCGCGCTTCCCTGATGCACCAGCCTGGGGTCCAGCTGGTTTTCAAGGAGAGGGAAATGTCAGTATGAAGATACTGTCACTGGCGGTCAAGCAAGGGGGAGGCCGTGTTCTGAAGACAAAGGCGTATAGTGTGGCGGGCGATTTGAATGGGCAGACCGTCCGGTGTGGGCCTGGGTGCGTGTAGCGGGCCGTGGGCCATCTGTATTGCCGGCAGCGTATACAAGCTGGCCGTGGGGTGTCGTGCGGGGTATCGTTGAAATAGAATTTGAATTACTCTCCTCTCTGTTCTCTCTGGTTGCGTCTGCATCTCTCTCTCTTCTCTCGCACCGATCCCCTTCTCCCGTTCAAATCTCACCGGAGACGAGCTCAAATCCGGCGGCCTCCTTGGCCAACGGCAAGGACGTTACAGGTACATAATCTGCACCCATCTCATCTCACAGGTAAGTATCAGGGGAAATTCTCCTAAACTGCACAGTTCCATTATGTAGAAGCTGGTACTACCCCCCACAGCACAAACACTGGTCATGAGAGGTGACTCCATATGCTGTACCATTACATAGATACAAATCCAGCTCCGACTTGTCCTTCCGCTTTACAGATTAGGCCCTGTTTGGATAGCCGTTTTCGTTTTAAATACACTTGTAAATAATACATGTCTCAGTCCGTCGTTTCATTTTCAGACGTAAATTGCTCAGTGACCGGTATGATCCGCGTGTAACTGAAACAGCTCCGTATCGAATTACATCCATTCCAAGCGCCCCCTTACATTTGATCATTCGGTTGCACTTATTTCAATCTTACTCGTACCCACCAGAATACAAGATGGGGGTCATACTTTGCTGTTCATCATAGCTGGAGGCAGAAGAAGAATTACAGCCGAGATTTCGCTACTGCAGCAGGTTTGAAGCTCGCGATCCCGGTGATTTCTCTTCCGGTCACCAGGCTGTTGATGTCATAGGTGCCCTCATACGAGTAAATCGGCTCCAGATCGCAGAACGCCTGCAAAGATTGAGATAGTTGTGATCAATGTTTCTTTACTACCATTTCAAAATAAAAAAATGTTTCTTTACTAGACACCGTGAAATGGAGAAAATCAAGTGGCTAATAATAGGCCATACATCAGCCCGTGAGATAATATTTAAATATAATCCAATCCAATGTACCATGTTCGGAGATGATCAAATGGATATTGAATGTTAGCACTTTTTACCTTCGCTACTAGAAAATCAGCCAAAATTCCATTGCCGCCCAATAGCTCTCGACCCAGAGAAACTACCTCCCTTGACTTGCTGGACGTCCATGCCTGAATTCAAACGTTGATCAGTACATTGTACATGTAAAGACATCATACACGATTTAAACAAAGAGACCATTGGCTAGCTAAAAAGCAGTTTACGGACCTTGCCCAAACTAGCATGACCTGGTGTCATTTTGCCTGACTCATAGAGCTTGCACAAGCGCCAGCCGACAAGAAGCATGGCCTGGATGTTACCAAGCATCCGAACAAGCTTTTCTTGGTTGAGCTGAAAGGCTGCCAGGGGAGCTCCAAACTGCTTCCTTTCTTTCAAATACCTATCCAGTGGCAAATGTGCAAAGTCAAATAGGTATAGACCAGTACAAAGATAATTGTAAATTGAAGGATAGGTGAGGTTCGGACCGATGGCACATGTCGTAGACGCCCATCGATATGCCAATTGGCTGCCAAGCCACCATAATACGTGACATTGCTAGGACCTATTTCAGCAGTCCAAGAGTAAATAAGAACAAAGATTACACCACCAAGCAGCAACTCCAATCGGCTAACAAAGAGCAGGGAAGTTGGGGGTGGCAGGTACCTTGCTTATATCCTGAAATGAATTGATGCCTGTTAATCTGTCTTCTTCTGGGACAAATACTTTATTCAGAAGGATATCGCCATTCTGAACCATTCTAAGTCCAATTTTGTTTTGAATTTTTGTGGCTCTCAAACCAGGCGCCCCCTTCTTCACAATGAATCTGGAGAAAGTGTATCATATTCATCATTCACAAGCAGGGTAGTTTTGCATTAATAAGCAGAGAAATAACTTCATACTGACATGTACTCCCTCTGTAAACTAATATAAGATCTTTTAGATCGTATATTAGTTTACAGAGGGAGTACATGATATTAACACAATGCTATCAAATGTAGTCCAAAACAGAATGATTACCCATTTAGTTGCTTTGTGTCTGCATTCCTAGCTAAAATTACAAGCACATCTGCAAACGTGCTGTTACCTATCCAGCGCTTTTGGCCATCTAATTGCCAACCGCCAGGTACCTTAAAAATCATGACATGATAAGGTAGTGAAGAAAAAACTTAAATTTTCTCAAATACAGTGATAAATATTAAACCTTGGTTGCTGAAGTTTTCAAGGAGCTTGCATCACTTCCATAATCTGGCTCTGTTAAAGCCTACAGAAAGCGGACACACTCTTAGGAAGAGGAGATAATGATAATAACACATTGAATATTGTATATATAAGCTACTGGATAATGTGACTCACCCAGCAACCAACAGTTTTAAACTGAGCTAACGATGGTAAGTACTTCTGCTTTTGAGCCTCTGATCCACAAAGAGCTGTCCTTCACACATACAGAATTAAAACACGAGCTCAAGTAAGTTGTTGTTGGTCAAAGTCAAACAGAATATCAAACATAATCTTTTGAAAAAGAACGACAACTTTACCAATTGTGGACATTGCCAAAGAGGAGTGCACTAGAATAAATGTGGAGCAGCTTGCATCAACCCGTGCAACTTCTGCTATAGAAACGGCACTCGCTGTAAGCGAGAGCCCTGGGCAACCATATCCCTGTAACGCCACAAAATTTGTGAAAAACTAATTCTAACATTGTACGTGTACAAATCCAAAATTACATAGTACAGCATGAATAGAAGATTGGTAGTTTGTACCTTCGTTGTACTTCCAGCTAAGCCAAGAGTTGCAAGTTTCGGAATGGCATGAAATGGGAATTCTGCCTTCTCCCAGTACTGCAAAAGCAAAATAACGAAGTTTTTGACACATCAGCCATTAGTTTGTCACAACAGCTACTACAAAGAAGAGTAGGCATCTAAACATGACAAGACAAAACTTGCAGCAGTATGTACTACAAGGTTTCAGTATGTAGACATGTTGCACCATAACATTAGTCCAGATTATGTTATTTCTCTGAGAACACGAAACGAAATGGGAAATGTATGTAGCAAGAACATACTTCGGTCATAATGGGTGCGATTTCTTTCTCTGAAATAGCACGGACTTTCTTCCTAAGCGCCTTCTCTTCATTGGTCAGCAAATCATCTAGCTGGTAGTAGTCCGACACTGCAAACAACAATTAATGAACTTACAAACAGGTAACGTGTAGCGCAGTGCATAATTCAAATGCTGTAGATTAATGTGGTAACCAAAGTCTGCAAGAAAATATGTACAATGTTGAATAATATAACTGACACAGAAATTAATTAATTTAGTACGCTGTAAGCAGGTGAAAGATTGTGAAACAAGAGGACCAAGTGCCTTCTTTTGCTCTTTAAATTTTGTGAGTGGATACAACTACTTTCTGACAAAAATAACATGTCCATTTCTGCTTGGCCGTGCAAGGAAAAGTTGCTAATTAATTATATACATTGTGAAAGCGACCAACCCTGTGATCAATAAGTCCAAGGCAAGCATTCTTAAACGCACAAGCAAAAGATATAATCACGTTTACTTTACTGAAAATCCAGATCATTCTTGTAAATTTGTTCTTTACTAGTCTGTTGCAGAGTGCAAATGGAAAACTACCCCATATTTTAAACTGAAAATGACATTAAGGAACTCCTACTATCATTGTGGACAGGTGCAAAAGCAAATAAGTCTCACTAACGTTAATTATATGAACATAATTAAATCACAAACACAGTTCCAACAATATTAACCCAAAATTCAAAATACATTTCCAGGATTTGGGTATCCAGTAAAGCGCTCCAAACCCTCGTTTTCTCAAGAGCACGCTGGATTCTTTCCCGTGGATAACCTCAAAGTGATGAACAGAACAGTGAACCCTCCTCTCCAAAGAGACAAATAAGACAGTTCACCTAACAATTGCTCTACTTGACCTAAAAAATACAACCATCTTACCACTACGTACAACCAAAACCTGCAGCTAACTTAAACCCGAAAAAATGGTCAACGAACAAAATCAATGAAACGGGAACGGGGGATCTCACCGGCGGGCGGGAACAGGGACGCCGGCGTGGCCTGCGGGAACGCGAGCGCCACCTCCAACGCCGGTAGCCCGACTTTCCCTCCGTCCTCGTTCCGCCCTTCTCCGCCGCTTCCGCCTGCACGACACCAGCGCACGAAATCAACACCCCCCGAGAATCAGAAGCCGCTCAATCCGCGCGGGAAACCCGCCCGCCCCGGAGCTCAGTCCGCCGCTCACCTCGCAAGCTTCCCATCTCCGAGGCGCAACCGAGAGCTCGTGGGCTCCTCTCTTCTCCTCCGGGGATCCGAGCTTCTCTCGATCGAGGTGGAGGAGTAGTTGGGAAGGGGGACAGAGACGAAAAGCTTTGCAGGAGAGGAGCTATCCGGCCATTTCGAGAGTTAATAGACGGTACGCTAACTGAGCTGGCGGGCCCACAAGCCACTGACGCAACTTCATTGTTGCCTGATCGGCATGACGTGGCAGGCGGCCGGCCAGCGGCGAGGGATTTTGCGTGTACGCGACGTTGTGTCTATGTGTCACTGACAGATGAGATCAGAGCTCGAGTGGACCCAGTGCAGTTTCATTCAGTGTGTGCTTGGTCGCTCGGTGCAAGCAGGGGCCATCGGATTTCCATCAGACGGCGCTCCCGTTTCGTCAAACTTTCCAAACATTACAGAATTTACCTAGTGAAATACACCATAGATCTTATACTCACTCCGGTCTTTTTTACTCTGCATACAAGATTTGTTTGAAGTATACGCATAACTCAAAAATGGAGGAGGCTGAGATCACCTCCCCCCTCCTCGCGTCGCCTCTCCGGCGACTCAGGGGCAACCCTAGCTGCCGCACCTTCTCCCCGCCGCGCCGCCGCCAGAGGCCCAGCCGGCGAAGCGCGTGCTAGTTCATGTGAAGGCGGCGGCGAGGCCTTTTCCCTTGGCGTGACGATGTCCTACTGTCGGCCAGGCCCCCACCCTTGGGGTGGTGTCACAACGGTGATTTCTGCTCCGAGCTACGACCATGGCTACGGGGCTACGGCGTCGGTTGATTCCAGGTGGTGCTCCCCAGTGGTGGCTGCCATTGCGGCTTGCCGGCCTGGTGGCAAGGCAAGCGTTTGAGGCCCGCGGTGGACCTCTTTCTGGTGCGGCTATGGCCACGTCAACCCTGGACCTGCGTTCTCTGGTGTCCTCGGTTCGCCGACGTCCTCTACCAGTGTGGCTTCGGCCACAACGCTTCACACCATGTCCAAGGCTCGCGTGTCCGGGCGTAGCTCCCCTTCTTGTGGTGTCGGTTTGACCAACGTTTGGTTTCCATGTCTTCTGATCATGATCCGGCAGCTACGGGATTGCTCGGACTTGGACGAAGAGAAATCCTTGCTTGGCTTGCCATAGTTGGCAGCGGCAACGCTTGCGAGTGTCTTTGCCTCCGTGGAGGCGCTGCCATGGCCCCCTTTCTGTGCCCCTCTGCGAGCACCGGGGGAAACCCTTAGGTCTGATTCTCGGATTGGACGACGATGGCGTCACGACGTCGTTTTCCTTCCTGAAGGTGTCGTCTAGTTGGCTCGCCGCGTCTCTGGTGTTGGTTATGAAGATGTTGGATGCCATGTTGGTTCAGGTTACCACTCAAGGCGTGGATTTCCGGGGCGCTATGTACGACTTCCACGGTGTTTCCCCCATGTCTTCCGCCTTCGACTTTTACGGGTCCTGCTTCTCACTTGTCATTGTTGTTGTCATTGTTGTTGTTGTCGAGCACTTCATTAAACTTGGCCTCCAGTTTAGCGTCGAATGTATTCTCAAAACTATCTAGCTTCTTCATAGCCTCTCCGAATTTTATTAGCATGCCTTGCACACCCATTGTTCATTGAAATTTATCGTGCAACTCCTTGTTCGTCATGTTCTCCCAGTCCAGCTCATCGGCATATGATCCTATCATGGTAAGGAGAAATAGAAACACACAAGAATATGGTCCTACTCACTACTAATAGGATGTGGTGTGGTGGAAAGTCACAAATCTGTCAAGCTAATACAAATGCGTACCCGTTCTTACCAAGCAACATGTGATGATTGGCAATAGTTATAGTCAAAACTTTCAAAGCTTGGATAGAGCGATTGCCAGGTGGTGTCAAACACATGAATTAGATGTATCTGGAGTTTGGAAGGCTTAAATATTGTAGCAAAAAAGGTCAGGAATAATCAATTCAGAGATGCAAAGTTGAATAAACACTTAACGATAATATTGTGCTGGTCCTAGGCTAGACTGTACTATAGACATGAGCCTAGAACACTAATAAAATCATAGCATGACACGTAAACAAGGGAGAAGCACACTCTAAATCTCTTTTCTTGCTCTTTTTCTTCTTTTTTGGTTCACTTTTTTCTCTTTTTTTGCTCGGCAACATTTTTTTTCCATGTCCTTGTATGTCAACATGGTGGCTCCAAAATCCTGAAAACTCCACTAGCAACTCCGTTCTTGTTCCTATCACGTGCGCCTTCATCTCCATGCTTGATCATGCTCCCACGTTCATCCCTCTTGTCCATGCCAGGCCCTTAATTTGTAAGCAACACAGATGTATCCAATTTAGGCAGAAGAATATTCTCATAAACATTAGAAATATTACCAAGAAACTAAAGTACCTGATAATTTAACTAGCGTGTGCGAACTCTAGTAATTGGTCCATTATGTGTAGTAGTAATAGGGGCTATGGGTGTAAATGTGGTAGTGATGTCCACATCATGAGGGCTTAAAGAGGGTCTGTTTTCACCTTAACACTACAAAAAAAAGATACATCCGTGACATTTTGGGCCAAAAGAATTTTTTTTCTATCATGCTTATGACACTTCTATGACGATAATTGTGACAAAACCCGGTATCATCATAGATGTGGTGGGCTCCTACTTCTATGACAAAAAGCATGATAGAAAATGGGTTTTTCGTCCTGTGCGGGCCGGAGACGCAGCTGCATGACATTCTTTGGGCCATCCATGACGGAAAAAACCATGGTAGAAGCGAGGGCAAGGAAAATATCGGGGAGTTCCCGGTTACGGTGGGTGGTCAGGGCCGAGCGATGCACGGAGGGATTGCACGTTTCTCTCGTACACGTATGCGCGTGGGTGCGAGGCGTTGGGCTCTAACTGAACCCGAGCAAGGCGTTCACCTACTGAACCCGAGCGATTGCACTGGCTAAGCGTTATTGAACCCGAGAGATCGATCGAACCCTGGTTGTTAACTGAACCCGATCGAGCGATTCCTTCGCAACTGCTGCTAACTGAAGCCGATCGAACCTGCTGCCTCTTGATGAACCGTGAGTGTTGTTGGGGGTTGGATGAACAGTTTCCGGTGGGGGTTGGATGAACAGGACCCCGTGGTAGCAGAGGTCATTGCCGCTGGATGAACAGGACCCCGATCGAGCCGGTTGGGGGTGGATGAACATGACTCCTTGGAGGGCTGGTTGAACAGTAGCCGGTGGAGGGCTGGTTGAATAGTAACCCGTGGAGGGCTGGTTGAACGGTAGCAGTGGAGGCAGGAGGCAGATGTCGTGGATGAACAGTCGCAGGTGGAGGCTGGAGGACGTCCACGGTGGATGAATAGTAGCCCATGGCGGCTGGAGCGAGGCAGTAGATGGTGGATGAACAATAGCCCGTGGAGTCCCGTTTTGCGGTACGCCACACCCCTCCCGATGAACAGGACCCGTTTCGACCGTATGAGGTTGAAGAGAAGTCTGTTTCCTCCGTTTTGCAGTACGCCACACCCCTCCCGATCAACATGACCCCGTTTCGACCATAGGAGGTCGAAGAGAAGTCCATTTCCTCCGTTTTGCGGTACGCCAGACCCCTCCCGGTGAACAAGATCCCATTTCGACCATAGGCGGTCGAACAGAAGGTTGTTTCCTATGTTCTGCGGTACGCCAGGCCTCGTTTCGGGTGTTTCGTCCAAGCCGGTTGGCTCCCGATGAACAGGACACATTCCGTTGCCTCCCAATGAACACGAGGCAGTTTCTCCGTTCCGTCCCAGCCGGTTGGCTGCCGATGAAAAGGACGCAGTTGCTGCCCTCTGCTGCCTCTCCATGTACACAAGCCCTGGCCGTACGTATGTGCGAGTAGGCGTCCGAGACCCCGCCCGTACGTCTGTACGTACGTGTACATGATATAGACGGGACTGCTGAAAGTGCAACTAATCCCTGGGTGGTTTTGGTAATTCTTAACAACATATAGCTCATTGAACTAATACTCTTTCAAGATGATCATTTCAAAAAGTTCAATGATTGGCATGGCATGGACTAGAGACGTGGACCCCTCAAAATGCTAAGGACACATATTGTCAACAAGCTCAAGACTCTACATTTTCATTTAAGTGATCCAAAATCACATTGAGTCCATAGGAAAAGCCAATACTATTAAAAAGGGATGAGGTGTTGCTTAATGGCTTGCTTGCTCAAAATACTTAGTGATATGCTCCAAAAACTCTCAACCACTTTATCATTTCCACATATGTCCTAAACCTAAAGTCAAACTCGGCCCCACTGATTTGATCTATCCGGCGCCACCGAGTTCTTTTGACATAGCCACTGCCACAAACCCTAATCACTTCGGTCTCACCGATAGGGATCTCGGTCTCACCGAGATGGGATTGCAAACTCTCTATTTCCCTTCGTAACATTTCGGTCTCACCGAAATGAGCGACCGGTCCCATCGAGTTCACAATGCAAACTCCCTGTTTCCTTTTCGTAACGTTTCGGTCCCACCGAGTTTGCCTGACCAACTCTCTGTTTTCCTATTACTAAAATCGGTCCCACCGAGTTCATGTGACCGGTCTCACCGAGATCAAGTTATGTCCTAACCCTAGCACATCGGTCCCACCGAGTTGATCATGTCGGTCCCACCGAAAAGCCTAACGTTCACATTTTAAACTGAATCGGTCTGACCGAGTTTCACTATTCGGTCTCACCGAGTTTGGGAATCTGTGTGTAACGGTTAGATTTTGTGTGGAGGCTATATATACCCCTCCACCCATTCTTCATTCACGGAGAAAGCCATCAGAACGTGCCTACACTTCTAGTATTCATTTTTTGAGAGAGAACCACCTACTCATGTGTTGAGACCAAGACATTCCATTCCAACCACAAGAATCTTGATCTCTAACCTTCCCCAAGTTGCTTTCCACTCAAATCATCTTTCCACCATAGCCAAATCTGTGAGAAAGAGTTGAGTGTTGGGAAGACTATCATTTGAAGCACAAGAACAAGGAGTTCATCATCAA